ATTCTTATATCTATATCTATAGATACAATTTTTCGTCCACGTTTTCGGGCGCTTCGATTAACCGATTTGAATAATTCAAATAGTGGTGCCTTAAAACAAATTGCTGGAATTTTCCGTACCTAAATAAACAAAACTTAATAAATCGGATTTAAAATAAAGGACATTTATAAGAATAATTATATAAACTGAATTGCTAAGTTTAAATTTAAATAAAATTATTTATATAAGTGAGTTTCAAAACTTACGCTAAAATCCGAATTATATTTAAAAAAAAAATTGAAAAAAAAAAATTTAATATTTTTTTTTTGTGCCAAAGCAATTGTTTCGTCAACACAAGCAGATTTTTTTTTAATCATTCAAATCGAATGTATAGTTCGCTCAAAAACTGCAATTCTTGCACAATTAGCTTCGTATCTCCGAAACGGCTAGATCTGCCTTTGCCAAAAACTAATCACCACTTCTCCCTATTTTTACAAATTGAATGTGTTTTGGATCTTTCGAATCAGATGTTCCGTTCTCTCACTTTTTTGCACTCTGCTCGATATCTCCGAAACGACTGGCTCTGCCTTTGCCAAAAACTGACCAGCACATCTCGGTTCATCTCAAACATTCAAATCGGTTCATCCGTGCGCCCGAAAACGTGGATAAAACACACACATCTATTTTTTTCTGAGGTAAGGCAAAATGCTCAGAAACCTTTAAAACGTGTGAAACAATGCAAAAATTTTCGGACGATACAATAACATACTCTACGGGAACTTAAAAATCATTCGATTTCTACTGTTGGGGAGATGTGCTGATTAGTTTTTGGCAAAGACAGGCCCAGGCATTTCGTAGATACGTTCAAAGAGTACACAAAATAGAAATCGAGCCTTTGAGAGTTTGGAGCATCCGATTTGAATGATTCAAATGTAATAATCTACTAGAAAACATTCGATATTATACACCACTAGTTAAATTTGTAATTATATGATTATATATATTTATTGCAAAATATAAATTTGCTAAATAAAAAAGAAAAGTGGGGGGTGAGAAAACTTATGAAGAAGTGGAATCTAGAAATCATTCGATAAGCAGACGGCAGAAAGTAAAAAATATAAATCCAAATAGGATGCATCGAAAATTAAATAACTCAAACAGGAAACGGAGGAATCGAAGGCAAAACTCATGAACCAATCGTACAAGGGAGTTTTGGAACATCATCATAATCAGATATGTAACACATACAAATTATGTTTGAGAAGCCAAATAAGATGTAATGGACAGATAGGAAGAACAGGAAAACCTACAAACCAGAAGACGACTATGGCACAAGAAAATTCTCCGGTTTTGGAAAAATATATTGAGAAATAATATAATAATAAGAGATAAGTAAAGCACCACGTGAGGATAAAGAAAGCCAGTGGACTGAGCCACGGAATGTCCGAATACATTTTTGAATGTGCCAATGACTATTCCTTATAATTAGAAGAAACTTAGAATGAATAAGATTTGGTTTCAGAAAAGTTAGACGCCACAGATACTATGATAATATTGAGAATAACGCTGCAGAAATATTTGGATATTAGCGAGGCATCTGCGATTGCTTCATAGTTTGCTGAAAGTTTTTAACACATCAACTAGAATAGGTTTATAGCCTATAAACCTGCCTCCAATGCACCAATAAATTATAGGTACATTGAAAGCATCGATTAGCAAAATCGCAGACTGATCCAAAATTTGTGCAAGGGGCAGACGGTGAAGGTTTTGTCGTATTAAAGCCATACTAATAGCGTTGAAAATCGGAGAGGGTTGCGGCAATGACACTGCAATTTCTGGATTGGTGGACGAAGAAGAATCAGCATAAAGTGAGCAGACCTTGAAAACCAAAAGCAAATTTTAAAGGATGATGGATAGAATCATCTGATAAGGATTCAATCAAAACCGGAGAACATTCATGAAGAGAGATATCTGTAGGAAATTAGAAATCGGCGAATGTAGATCATTTCATATATGTATTAATGTATTTGAGTAAAGAATAACCAAACAGATAAAACCATGTTTTACCAATTTTTTTGATAGACATTATTTTGGCTGGCACATAAGTAATATGTTAGAAAAAGGTTAAAATAAAATAAAATTAAATAAATATAAAGCTATATATATTTATGAATATATTATAAAAATTCATAAAATTGGGCCTAGTTCTTAGAACCTGGGACTTCGAATTATAGGTTCCGCTTCGGTCAGCTTGATGTCGAAAAGCAGTGACATCAGTTTTCACTTAACAACATATAGATAGCAATAAGATTCCAGGTAAAAACAGCCTTTCCATCATTGCTGCTTCAATAACAAAATCATCAGCATTACAAAAATCATAATATAGAACGATTGTACCCTATAATTAAAATTCTTTAGAGAAACTAAGTGTAAGTGGCTTGGGAAATACATGGTGATGTCCAAGGAGTGCGGCCACTATTCGAAACTTTAATAAACTAAATCACTTCTCGTAGGCCTATAATATTTGGAATGAACGTTTATATTTAGACCATAAACTCATTACTAAGCAGAGTTTCATTAAAATTGCCAAAAACATAATTTTAGCAATTAATTACGATGACACGACCCAGAGCTCTTACAAAAACCAATCCAATGATTTCCAAGCAATTTGGGTATCAAGTTATCGATAAATTTAATATGGAACAAACCATAACAACTAACAGATCTTCTACTCCCCAACTCTAGTCTATATTAGCATGTACCTTTTTTGTTGAAATAACACCCTTCCTTAATGACTATTTCTTGAAGTAAAGTATCTAACAAAGTTGTCTAGTAAATATCTAACAATCGTCAATTTATTGAATTATTCTATAGAAAATTGAAATGGTAGTGAATGTTCATTTTTGGCTGCTCTACTTAATCCCATTTCACTAAAATATTTTATATAGAGATATCAAATAATTCAGTAAACCCAGAAACCATGGCAAAAAATCATAAATATAATTTAAAGTAATTAAAATTGTATGTAATCAACAGACCATGTAACTGCAACTAGAGTGAAAATTGTATGAATTATGTATAAAAATATTAAAAAATTTCTCTGCAATAGTAACAGTAAGCATTGATCTACAATCCGCATTTTTATCGATTTTTGACGGTTAATTAATTGAAAATTAACGTTTAAATATTAATTACTGAATATTGTTATATTAATTTATTATATATATTATATTATGTATTAAAAACCAATATGATTTAATTGTGAAATGTATTGATGATGAAAAGCGATTGTTTTATCCACTGAAAATGTTAATCTTGGAAGATCTTGTGCAATTTTTCAAATTAATTAATAAGTAATCGTATTGAATTTAAGCAAGTTGTGTAAACTTTCCGATTAGTGTATATATAATTGACTTAATTAATGAGAAATTAGCATTTTTTATAAATGTTACGATAGAATCAATCAATCAGCAACTTTTATAAATGTTACGATAAATGTTACGATAACTTTTATAAATTTTGCTGAATTTTTATATTGAAAATACATTTCATAGACCTATAATATTTTTGGAACAAAAAAATCTCAATTTTATTCAACTATTAATTACAAAAACAAGCGGTCCGATCAAACTTTACCAAAAAGTAATGAGCTAAATTTCCTTGAAAATATCTTTCCACCAGTTTTTGAATTTTCAAAATCGATTCAGGATTAGAACATGAATTTGCCACTTTTCTACTTATCTTAAAGAAACGGCTAGACCAAACCTTGCGAAAAATTTATAAATGCAAGATCTGATTGAGTTTCATCGAAAAAGCTTTTAAATGTTTGAAATTGGTATCAAACAAATCAGAATTCCTATTGCAAAGATAATATTAAAGTATCCTGATCAATCAAAATTAAATAATAAAAATGATCTTAATATTTTAAATGAAAATAATTTTATAATATTCTACATCAACTGGAACAACAACTTTAAACCATATTTGAACAACCCTTTTTCTCTTTCGCTGTTGTAAGATATTGATTCTAGACCATATAATGTTACAATATATAGCAGAAAATATATTAAACTATCCCAACTAATTAAACTTTAATTGAAATAAAATAATTTCAGAATATTCCATCCAAAATTTACAACTACCATATTTGAACTACCGTTTTTTTCCTTCCGTTGGTCTAAACGCGAAGGCATCAAATTCAAGCCATAAACTATCAAAATCGATAGCAAAAAAATACATTAAATTGTCCTAATTAATTAAAATATTATTAGAATGTATGAGAAATTTGAATTGTAAATGAACTTATTTGCTAGCAACGATGAACTTCAAATCTTCCGATGCGTTAAGACGTGCCATTCTGCCTTCCTTGGTCATATATATAACGCGAAAGTAATGTCGAGTACTTATCATTCAGATTTCATCAGTCCATCAGTACATAGCAATAGGTGTAAAAAATAATAAAATACTGTAATACCAGGATAAATTGGTTTAACAGAAAAATATAGTGACATAGTGATTGTGTTAAGTGTGCAAAGTGGTTTTGATAGTTTTATACAGGAGTACCCCAAGGTTTGTTTATAGGAACAATGCATGATATGAAGGATTAATACAACTATTCCAGGATATGCTTTCTGTCCTTAAGATAAATACTTTCACCTTGAATAAGGCGATATATGATAAACAACATATGGCTCTTTTTGTGTTTCTTCTGAAACTTTACAGTTATCGGTATAAAGATGCAATATTCGCAAAATAGTTGATTTTAAAGTTTATAGGATAAAGAATATAGTGAATTTATATCAATCAACTAATGTCAATTACATTTCAAACTAAAGAGTTTCAACAACACCGGTTTAATTAAAAGTTCCAAAATTATTGCTCTTGTAGTATTTTTCAACATTTATCATATGGAATTCTTGAAAAGTATAATTATTTATGTGATTTTACCAGAAAATGATCTGAATAAACGAAATTTACCTCCAACCAATCGTTTTTCTTAATATTTTAGCCCTATTTTCAAAATGTGTGACGATGATGTAGCAGCTTTAGTCGTTGACAATGGATCCGGCATGTGCAAAGCCGGATTTGCCGGAGACGATGCACCCAGGGCAGTTTTCCCATCGATTGTGGGAAGACCCAGATATCAGGTATACTATTACTGACCAATTATATAATTTTCTTTTAATATTTAGAATTTTTGTTGCTACAACTGCAATTATGTTCAACTAATTGTTATCATTAATAACCTTCCATAATTTTTAATTTTTCTTAATCAATATTATGTATTAATGAATTATTTATTTGCTTTTATGTTAAAAGTACGTTGCTCTACAATTATGACCCACTTTAAACTGTAAGGTGTGCCTAACCATCGAGACGGTTTTCCGCAAACAGTCTAATTAATAAATCACGAACATTTAGATTTACGGGAAACCTCACATCTTTCTTCTAGGGCTTAAGTATTTTCTTACCTATCCAATTATAAAACGGTTTATAATTGATATAATACTAATGGAATTCAAGAAAACCAGGACGCATTAACTATTACACTAATTTGTACTAATAATGAAAATGCAATATTTATCCAACAATTAATTAATTATGGTTTAATATTATTTGCTATTGAAAATTTTGTGTCTTATTTTCTATCAATGAAAGCAGTTATTTTTTTAGTTCAAACTGCGTCTCTATAATTTTGTCCAAATGTAAATCATATTTGTTATCAAATGTTTTTAAATTACACAAAATATAAAATGAAATTTATCTGTCTAGGGTATCATGGTCGGCATGGGCCAAAAGGACAGCTACGTGGGCGATGAAGCGCAAAGCAAAAGAGGTATCCTTACGGTAAAATATCCAATTGAACACGGAATTGTGAGCAACTGGGATGACATGGAAAAGATTTGGCATCATACCTTCTACAATGAACTTCGTATTGCACCAGAAGAGCACCCAGTATTGTTGACAGAAGCTCCATTGAATCCAAAAGTGAACCGTGAAAAGATGACGCAAATTATGTTCGAAACTTTCAACACTCCGGCTATGTATGTAGCTATACAGGTAAATAGAAAAGAAAAATTAATAATATTTTTATACATACTCGTTTTTATTTAAATCAATATAAAACTAAAGAATTTATCAGTATAAATAATCTAAAAAATTAAGCACAAATAAAAAAACTAACATATATGTAAGTTAGCTATTTACAAAGAAACGGCTTAGCTGATCGTCGCGCAATGAATGCATGTATACATTCACAATTTTCAAATTTAAATTTTTGTATATGAAGCTATCATTATTCACATTACTTAAAAAGTAGAAAACAAATTAAACACAATTCAAGGCATGTGCTAAAAATCTCCTGAACGATAATTTTACCACTTCGGTCTTCTGGATCATCTTTTAAGGGGGTCTCCTCATCAGTAGCTTACAAAAAAAGGGATTTTTCAGTATTTTTTTTGAACATGAAAACAACAAGAGAAACAAAAGATCTTTTGCATAGTTTTGAACACGTATTTATTCAACAAAATAAAATTTATTGTATGTCAAAATAAATAAAAATAGCTGATTTATAAACAATCTTGCGCAGCAGCTCGCGATTGACAACTCAAACTCCGTGCAAGGTACAGCCCGTAATTTTTATCTGAATCTAAAAATGGAAATACTTCTTTATTCTGCATATCATAGACTATTATGGTGGCTCAAAGTTGAAATTTAAACATTTTTAACATTTTTTTAAAAAAGTACTGTTTTTTTAGGGCTTTTTTAAGGAGTAATTGCGTTAACAACATTGTAAAATGAAAATTTTCAATACATGTTTTTAGTTCAATCTATGGACAATAAAATTATCTAAAAAACGGTGTCTTACTTGTATATGTAGCTTTTATGGTTCATTTTTAATCGTGCACGGAATTTTACAAAAATCGGTTTTCGGAAAATAAGCTTTGTTGCGCGGCTTGACTGGCGCTTGCCCCACGCGCGACTCTACTCGGACCTGTAAATCCTAAACTAGTTTGAGTTGGACTCTCAAACTTTGCAAGAATATTCTTAAATAATTAATCTAACGAGTGAAGCAAAAATAAAAAAATCGATTTTTTGAAACTGACTGATGAGGAGACCCCCTTAAGTAACCTTTGCATTTTTACATTAACAGAAATATCTTATGAGAAGTGCATAGTGCATGACTTTTCAATTTATAATAAAGGCTTCCCAAAGACTTAATTTGACAAAAATAAAGTTCATCTTTTCTATATACAATTTGTTCACGCCGTCACATATCAAATGTAGTACTCAAAAATGAATAGACTAGTTCACAAGGATGCTTATTTCTCTCAAAAACTGCTATTTTTGCACATTTAGCTTCGTATCTCCGAAACAGCTGGACCTGCCTTTGCCAAAATCTAATCACACTTCTCCACATCATTACGAATTGAATGATTTTTGAATCATTTAAATCTAATGCTAAACTAATCAGGACATCTCCCTATCAATTGGAATCGAATGTTTTTTGAACCAATTAAATCGGTTGAACCGCGCCTGAAAGCATGAACAAAAAATTGTATCCGTACATACATACACACACACACAGCTTAATATTTTCTAAGGTATGCCAAAATGTTCAGAAATCTTCAAAACGTGAAAAAATTTCAATTTCGATTTTGGGACGATTACAATAACTGACCCTACTGGAAATTAAAAAGTAACCCCGAACAAAAAAAGTATAAGTATGTAAAACCATAAGTAATATTTTAAAACAATTTTTATTACAGGCTGTCTTATCTCTGTACGCCTCTGGTCGTACAACCGGTGTCGTATTGGATTCAGGAGATGGTGTATCGCACACAGTACCAATTTATGAAGGCTACGCTTTGCCGCACGCAATTCTCCGATTGGATCTGGCCGGCCGTGATCTGACTGATTACCTGATGAAGGTACTCACAGAACGTGGATACACATTCACAACCACAGCAGAAAGAGAAATTGTGCGTGATGTTAAAGAAAAATTGTGCTACGTCGCCCTAGATTTCGAACAAGAGATGGCTACGGCGGCTAATTCCAGCTCGCTGGAGAAATCGTACGAACTTCCCGACGGACAGGTAATAATATTTAGATGAAACAAAAACATGGACATAGTACTAGACGAGCGCGCGTTTTTTAATTAAAAACATATTATGGTCGTAAATCAATTTCATTTTATACTTGGTTCAAAATATGAGACATAAGTATGATCAAATAAAACTTCACTGACCTTTCCCTACAGGTGATCAGCATCGGCAACGAACGATTCCGTTGTCCAGAAGCCCTTTTCCAACCTTCCTTTTTGGGGATGGAAGCTAGTGGAGTTCATGAAACTACATATAATTCCATAATGCGATGCGACGTCGATATCCGTAAAGATCTTTATGCAAATACTGTACTATCTGGAGGAACCACTATGTACCCAGGTATTGCAGATAGAATGCAAAAAGAAATCACCGCTTTGGCGCCATCTACAATGAAAATCAAAATAATCGCACCACCTGAGCGCAAATATTCAGTATGGATTGGTGGTTCCATTCTTGCTTCACTGTCGACCTTCCAGCAGATGTGGATTTCAAAACAAGAATATGAGGAATCGGGTCCCGCAATAGTCCATAGGAAATGTTTCTGAATACTGTGATGGTCATCTTTAGGCAATTCAAAGCAGTTGTACTAACAGTTTGTAGAGTGCCTAAATTTTCTGATATGTTTTGCAATCATGAGGCTACTAAAAAGGTTCAAATCTTTTTGGTTAGCTCATACTTCCATAATAATTCCGACTATACTTTAGAACAAAATATTTAGTTAGCTAGTCATACTTTTTTTATAAAAACGTGTATTTTCGGATTAAAACTATCATAATTATATAATTTAATAATTTAATTTTGAACATTTATAGTTTCTGTTATAAAACTGAAACTACTAATGTTGATCTAATTCAAAGGCCAATTGCACTAGCATTGAAGTCGCACTTAACCATTACACACAAAGAAAATTTAAAAACATCAAATACACGTTATTAAATTTAATCAAACTATAAACATAGAAATATGTGCGTTTAAATATACTTCTACTTCAAGCTTTGCTGTCTATAGTGTTCTTTATAGGCAAGTCCTTTCAGTACTTTTAAGTATTTATAAAAGGTTAATAGTACCACTCCAGTATCTTTGAGGGCATTTCCAATTAATAAATGCTCTTATTGTATAAAATATAATCTACAAAGTTATGTGAATATTTATAAAATATGTGTGTTATTTTCTGTTACAATAAATTATTTATTTACTAAATTATGTGTAATTATTCTGATATTTTCTCAGTTTGAATCTTATTCTTCAACATTAATTGGCTATTTTCAGTAAAATGTTCGAGTATTCATACACGTAGAAATACATATATGTACTAAAAAACATATATGCAAAAGTACGCATACAAATAAAACAAGTGAATTCTTATTAATCATTCTTTATTAATTACATATAATTTAGATCATTCTTTTATAAATCCGAGCTCAGGAAAATGATAATATAACTGATAATTCATAGTAAGAGCACATTCCAAGTATCATTTGATACCTATATTTACAAAGTATTTTAACAAAACATAAATTATAAGATAAATCTTTTAAAAGTCTTTAGATCTCATGTAAAACATGAATAAAAAGAACATATTTAGTAGTATGAAGTTTTTGTACTAGATTAATTTTTGAAACATTCAACGGAAGGCTCCTAATTTACAGTCTATGCAAAATGTAAGGATATCTAACTATTTTTACAAGTAGCCTTATTTAAAATGAGACCGTTCATAAATTCTTAGAATATATTCTAAAGTAACTTCTAAATTGATCACAAAACTATATGTTAGCTATATCCATAACTATTTTTTTATATAGATTTGCTTCTTTTGTATTTTCATATAATTAATTACATACATTTAATTTATGTATATACTTTTGCTATTGCAATCAAAAATTTTATGTGCTAAATTATTGTTATATCACATTCACATTACACATAATAAAAGATAATTAAAATTATGAAAAAATTCAATAGATAATCATACATATTTTTTGATCAGAAAATTTTTGATAAACAGTATCTAATTATTTTTATTTGATTTATTTAATAACTAAACAAACATGCAATTGTGCAATTTGTAGGTCAGTTGTTATATTATTGGTTGATAATCTATTTTGTATATAAATATTATATATATATATATATATATATATATAATATGTATATATATATAGATATGTATATATGTATATAATCAACATTATATTACATATATGTCTATACAAATAGTTACAACATATGCACTTATGTGTCATCATTAGATCATTTTAAATCTTATACATTTCTTATAATTCATAATCATTACATAAAATCGAAATTTATAAAAATGTACTTTGTAAGTTTTTCTTTAAAAAAAAACAGATTGTAATAAAATATAGAAAAACAGATTGAGATAAAGATTTATGTATAAACTAGATTTTCATAATACGTATGATTTCTGCAGGACATTTTACATACTTCTTATTGCTACATAGTTTACAAAATTTCAGTGTACACAGCACTTTGCAATCACTGATAACCAACATTAAATTTTATTATGTTACCTTTGGGCATATAGTTTAAAAATTGTCATATAAAAATATTGCTTTGAAAAGTTTATAATTGTGCCCAATTAGAAATTGCATTTATGCTCTACAACAATAATTAAATTTCTTGACTATAGACAAACGTGTACACTGATGTTAAAATGCCACTAGAACAATTAATAAAGAAGCCATGGAAATCATTAACTATCTGCTTGTATCTATGAATATTGCATAGAAAATTCCATTTTCAAACCGAATTGAAGTTTTTATTTACTTATACAACAAAAAGAAATCTTTGGAAATTGTAAAACAAAATCTTACAAGAAACATGTCAATTTTAATAAAAATTTGATTTCATTATATTTCATTAATAAATTAAATGCTATGATTTAAATATCAATTATAATTAATATTATATATGTAGGAGTGATCATTAATAACCCTTTTGAAATAAATTTAAATTTGGCTGGTATTTCTATTATCAATTTAACATATTTTCTTGTAGATATATACAGTATTTTAAAAAATAGTTTGTTCAATCAATATTTTATTAAATTACTTTAAATGATTGAAATATGATACATCAAAAGTTATTTTCTTAAAATATTTTTAAATTTATATTATACAATATTTAACAAATTTTAATAATATATTTTAACTATTCACATTATAAAAGATACCGATCACTTAAAATAAAAATATAGAGGTTTATACTTACTGATAATTCCTTGCATTACTTGTAATTATTGGGTTTCCAAAATCTCAATGTTTTTTAAACATTTTACTAGATCATATAGAATCCGCATTACGCTAATGATTTTGTGCGACTGGTGGCAAAATAAAGAAAAAAATTAATTTTCTTCTAAAATAAATACTTAGTTTCAAATGTGATTTCAATGCCATTAATTATAAATAATAATTTAACAAAAACTGGCTTAATATTACAAAATACTTTTCCATAGATTTATATAATAATCGGTATAAACAAATAGATATAATAAAATGAGCTTGTTATTGTTAGGATACTATTGTGTAATAGTATATAGAATAATTTACAGAAAAAAACACAATGCTCTAAAATGCCTGCACAAAAATTCAGAATATTTATTTCAATAATTGCAAGCTACTGAAATTATGAGATTATTAGAGGTTGAACTTTAATATTTCATAGAAAACAACCCCCAGAATTTAACTCTTCCTATTTAATTGATAAATCATTTGTTATTAATAAAGTAATAAAAATAAAACGTTTAAGTAAAACTTGTTTCCAATAGATCATTAATCAAATTATTTATATTGAAAATCTAAAATTCATTCAAAATTCAAAATCTTACCTTTTGATGCGTTGCCTTCTTTGTCGTCGATGTCTATTAGCTGTTTGTGATGACCTTCTCGATTCTGTTCCTCCAGGTGATCTTGCTGTAGATCGAGTACTCCAAGGTAGAGAAAACTCTCTGCAAGTATATAAAAATTATATTAATAAATTATAATTTAATTTATTTTTGACGTATGATCTCATAAACAAGATGAACAAACACTACAACACTACATGCACTCAGTACTTAAATAAATTATAATTAAAAAAAAAATAATAATAAAATAATAGTTTCAATATCCACCAATAATGCCTTAAAATATATAACAGTGAGTAAGAAATTAAGAATTCACAGTAATATTTTTTTTTATTCGATTAATAAAATTAACTAATCCAAACATATTTGTATCTTCAAAAATATTGACCCATTGCACTTTTTTATCACAATTTTGTTCAGTGATGTTAAAATTACAAAAATTTTGAGACCAAAATTTGCCTCATCATTCGTGTAATTAAAAATAACATACTTCAATTATATAGATGCTTATAAACTCTTGAAATATTGTTTTACACAAGTGGTATAAATAGAATCCGTTTAAAATAACATCGAAGGCAATTGGCAAACACGCCATAATAAGCGGAAAATACACAAGGCGATTTGTAAAGAAAACTAGCTGTAAGTGGAATTCTGTCTTGAGGCAATTATGGCATCGTGCCTTAAGGCAAATTGCTGGAACTTCCCGTACCGTAACAAAATGTTCGAAGAATACTGAATGTTTTCAAACAGATTATTATAAATATTGTAACATTGTCTAATATTTATAAGAACTATATAAACTGAATTGCTAAGTTGAAATTATTTGTAAAGTATATTAGAACTATAGTCAGAATTAAAAATAAAATCTGAATTATTTTCGATATACAAATAATTAAAAAAAAAAAAAAAAATTGAAACAAAAATTTTTCTTCCAAAATCAATTATTTTGTTAAGACAAGCAGAAAGTTCTTTGAATCATTTAAATCAGACGCTTAGTTCTCTCAAAAACTGCCATTTTTTACATATTTAGCTCCGTATCTCCGAAACGGCTGGACCTGCCTTTACCAAAAACTAATCAGCGCTTTTCCCTATCAATAGGGATCAAATGTTTTTTGAAGCATTCAAATCGGTTGATCCGTGCGCCCGAAAACGTGACTGGAAATTTGTATCCCTACATATATACATACACACACACATCCATTTTTTCTGAGGTATGCCAAAATGTCCAGAAACCTTCAAAACGTCGAGAAATGTAAAAATGTTCAATTCCGATTTTCGGCCCATTACAATAACTTACCCTACGGGAAGTTAATAAACCTTTTTAAACATATAATGCATATATGTATGGAGGTGTAGTAGTCCTCCATATTAATACCAATATTATCCAAATTGTAGTAATAATAAATTCCATAAAATATTATTTATATTTGGTTTATTTTATGTATGATTAATATCCACGACACTATGTGTTGTCATATTTATCGTTAATAAAATGTGATTGGTATTTTCTTATTTATAATAGAAAAGAAAGGTTTTGAAAATTATACATTTTGGCAAGTTCGACTAGGGAGAAACAAAAACCGTGTCCGATCTGACACTTGAATTTCCTTTTGTTTTTCTCAGTGCTGTCACTATATGGGCCAATCTGTCCAGAGACATGTGATGCGTGTTGACAAGCCGCTATGCGTGTTGGCAACCCGCTACATCACTCCGCCCTAATGAAAAAGATTGTTTCGCATCTCTGACTGCCATTCTTGAACTTCCTTGTAAATTTCTTTTGGTTGAGATTGTGTGATAAATTGCCGTGTTGGCTTGTTGAGTTTGTTGATTGCTTACGTGGCCCTTCGCTGGTGAGTCAGCGGTTGAGTAGATGTGGCCCTTCGCTGGTGAGTTAGCGGCTGAGTATATTTGACACTTCGCTGGTGAGTTAGCGGTTGAGTGTATGTGGCCCTTCGCTGGTGAGTTAGCGGTTGAGTGTATGTGGCCCTTCGTTGGTGAGTTAGCGGTTGATTGTATGTGGCCCTTCGCTGGTGAGTTAGCGGTTGATTGTATGTGGCCCTTCGCTGGTGAGTTAGCGGTTGAGTGTATGTGGCGGTTGCCAAATTGTTTGCTCCCTGTCTGCTGCCATGGTGCTTATTATCGACTTATTTACCATGATAATAAGTGATTTATTGAGCACGTGTTGTTGTTGATCTTGAAGTGCGTGGTCGGAGTCTCAGTTGTATGCTTAGAATGCTCTTCGAATTATGGAAGTTGTGAGCCATTTATAATAATTATTTATATTTTTAAAAATTCTTTTCTTAATAATTCTTGAGACTTCAATTTATTTTTTTTTCTTGTGCTACTTCAAAATATGTCTTGATCTTCTTACCTTCTTGTATGTGTGTTGCTAGTTCACTCTCGGGGTCACCAAAATATGGAGGTGTGCTCCATATTGTAGAAATACCGGAATTGTCCAAATTATAGTCATAATAAATTTCATAAAATATTATTTATATTTGGTTTATTTTATGTATGATTAATATCCACGACACTATGTGTTGTCATATTTATCGTTAATAAAATGTGATTGGTATTTTCTTATTTATAATAGAAAAAGAAAGGTTTTGAAAATTATACATTTTGGCAAGTTCGACTAGGGAGAAACAAAAACCGTGTCCGATCTGACACTTGAATTTCCTTTTGTTTTTCTCAGTGCTGTCACTATATGGGCCAATCTGTCCAGAGACATGTGATGCGTGTTGACAAGCCGCTATGCGTGTTGGCAACCCGCTACATATGTTAAGTATTTATATAAGTATGTATGCATGTAAGTATTGCAGTAAATAAACATAGTAACCAAAATGTGCATACAAACATATTAAATTAAAAAAAAAAATAGCATGTAATCAGTACATTGTATAAGCATTTATTTTATGATTATGATTATGATTTTTCCTTTTTAATGAAAACACAGCTTCTAATACTATTGTGTATAACAAACATTCAATTCAATATAAAAATGAACAAATTATTATAAATCGGCCTGTTTTGACTAAAAAATGAGTCATAATAAGCCAACTTTATATCTGACTAGCTTTTATAAAAAAAAAATTATCTGAAAACCAAACTTCATAGTGTAATTATGCCATAATAAATGGTTACGCACTACAGTCAGAGTCATCATAAACGTATTCTATTGCATGTTCAAATAAAAATAATTTCAGACATAGAATAAAGTGAATCAAAATTTATACCTAGGTTGTAGAAGAGGTAAATTGGCTCCGAGAGCGCACACAGGCAACTGTTCAGTTAGCACTATGAAGCGTGCATCATGCGGATCGGGCCATAGTGATTCCGGCGCTTGGCACCCAACGTCCTCTTCTCCATTCGGTGAAAGTCGACCCCCCGCCGAACCAAAAATCCCGCTACTTGAACCCGACATTGCGCCTCCGACACTTAGTCGAGTGTTACCCGAACGGCTCTGCCGCGACTTCAGGCGCTCGATAGTGCGCTGCTCCCGTATCCTTTGTACATCCCACCTGCAATGATATATAATAAATAATGATATAAATAATGCATATTTTCATAACTATTGATAAATACTATTTATTACATAAATATATTTTTTCTATATTTGATTACCATAGATGTATAAAAAGCAAGGGCAGCATCAATAATGTAGCAGATAAAATTTCAAAATTTGGTAAAAAATAATTTGATAAAAAATAGTAAAAGTAGAACTAAAAGCTAAAGTCCTCATAATAATTTATAAGCAGCTTTCTGCAAAAAGTGGTAACAGAAAACATGTCTAACTCATTTCTGCAATATCATGAATGGACAGAAAAAACAATAGTTAAATTAATAAATAACTAGTGGGGCGCATGGCATCGTGCCTTAAGGCAAATTGCTGGAACTTCCCGTAACGTAACGAAATGTTCGAGGAATACTGAATGTTTTCAAATAGATTATTATTAATATTGTAACATTGTAAATAAACTGAATTGGAAATTTAAAATTATTTGTTTAAGTTATTGTGGGAGATTGGTTAGAACTTTAGTCAGAATAAAAATAAAATCTGAATTATTTTCCATATACAAAAAAACTAAAAAAAAAAAAAATTATACAATTTTTTTTTCCAAAATCAATTATTTTGTTAAGACAAGCAGAAAGTTCTTTGAATCATTTAAATCGGACGCTTAGTTCTCTCAAAAACTGCCATTTTTTACATATTTAGCTTCGTATCTTCGAAATGGCTGGGCCTGCCTTTGCCAAAAACTAATAGACACTTCTCCCATTCATTACTAATTGAATGTTTTTTAGATCATTCAAATCGGATACTCCGTTCTCTCAAAAAGTCGATTTCTATTTTCTGCACTCTTTGCTTCGTATCTCCGAAACGGCTGGACCTGCCTTCGCCAAAAACTAATCAGCTCTTTTCCCTATCAATAGGAATCGAATGTTTTTTGAACCATTCAAATCGGTTGATCCGTGCGCCCGAAAACGTGACTGGAAATTTGGAGAAAAACACAATGCTAAAACAAATTAATAGCATTTCAATTTAGTTATGTGGGACAAACTGTTCGAGATGTAAGCGATTTGACAAACAAGCTTGGTTATGGCACAAATTAAACTCGTATGTTGGGGTACGTCTCGTACATAAATCTACGAGATATTTAAGAAACTATATATAATAGAACAATAATCCAATATATATGAAATTTTCAAAATAGTAATATATCAATAAATATTACCTAAAAATAATTAAATAACTAGTAGTGTATGGCATCATGCGTTAAAGCAAATTGCTAAAACATCCTATATCTACTTAAATATATTTTTATAAATACTGTAACTTTTATTATTAGACTTTTATAGATAAAATATAAAAACTTATAAATTGAACAAGGATGTTTATATAAGTTTACATGAAAAGTAAAGAAAACTTAATAATCCCCTTCGAAGGGGAGTTAGAATGAAAAATCTTGTATCATATTTCTAAGAATGATAAAATGAATTGCAAAGTTAAAATTTTATTTCAAATGTTTTGGCTAGAATTAAGAATATTAAATTTTTTTTCTGAAATTTTAAAATTGAAAAGATTTTTTTTTGTTTTTCCCAAAAAGTCCTTTCGTCAACACAAGCAAGAAGTATTTGAAATCATTTAAATTGGACGCTCCGTTCTCTCAAAAACTACAATTTTTTACACATCTAGCTTTGTATCTCCAAAAGGGCTGGTCCTGCCTTTGCCAAAAACTGGGGGGAAATAATTTCCCCCCATCATTACGAATTTAATGTTTTTTAATCATTCCAATCGGATGCCCGGTTATCGCAAAAATCGAGTTTCTATTTTCTGCACTAATTGCTTTGTATCTCGGAAACCGCTGGACCAACCTTTCCCAGAAACTAATCAGCACTAATCCTTATTAGTAGAAATCGATTGCTATTTCAGATATATCATTCAGATCGGCAAAGTGATACAAAATTTTCGATAAAAAATTGTATATGGACAGACACATTGCATATAGACACACACACATCCTTTTCTTCTGAGGTATGCCAAAATGTTCAGAAGACTTCAAAACGTGAAGATATGCAAAAATGTTCAATTTCAATTTGAACCTATGTAAGTTAAAATGATTTAACTGCATTAAATGAAAATGATACACACCGTTTCCTTCTCTTTTCTTCGATTTCCCATTTCATATGTCTTTTAGCAATAATACTGTCATCTAAGTTTTCAATCCCTTCAACAGAATTTGAACTTGTATATGTTTGGCCACACCATCGCGGAACCTAATGATTTTATAACATTAGAGTAGCATACGTTATAAAAATAAAAAATAAAATTTGACATATTACCTCTAGGATACTACTTTGATCTTTAATTGATACATCTTCTTGTTCTTCTGAACCAAACTCAACATCCCCAATAGCAATATGATATTCTTTACTCGTCATTAGAAGTTCTACAAGAAAATTATTCATTTAGTCATATAATATATATATATATATATATATATATATATATATATATAAAATTAGTAATATGACAATAAAAAAGAAAAATTTCATTACAAAAAAAAAAATTTATAATATTATTACAAACAATAATCAAATTTTGTTTGCACCAGCAATTTATTCAATTAAATTTTTACTCTTATCCACTTTTAGCAAATATGCAAAATATAATTATTTAATTTGGTCAAGATTTTATTGTTTATTTTATTTGCTTAAAAGCTAATAATCACTAATTATTACATTCAAAGTTTAATCACAAAAAAAACATAGAAATTACCTCGTATTCTTCTTTTAGGTTCATGATGGTTAAGAAGTTCTGATCCAAAAGAACCCAGAATAGTATTATTTTCAATATTTCTTTTCTTAGCCTTCGAACTGCTTGAATCGAGAGAAATTCCTTCTTCACAAAAACTTTTATCCTCAGTTTTAACATTAACAGGTGACAATAAATCTTCCGTTCGTTTTTCTAAGCCTAGTCCACCATTTGTTTGTTCTACATTACTTTCATAATTTAAACCATTATTGAGTGATAGCTCATAATTTGTGTTAATTTTATGTAAAATTATTTTATTGATCAAATTGCCTCCATTTTCACCAATTACACTGGATTCAACAGAGTCATTCACTCCATTGCTTTTGATTACTCTCGATTTATTAGTTTTGTCTTTACTTTTTTCTAAAGAAATTTGGTTATTTGAATGTGTATTATCTGAATTTATTGGACTAAAAACTGTTAGAGACTTTTCTAATGAATTTGATTCCTGTGAATTATTGCAATAACCATTAGATAAAAATACTTCCACAGGGGATTGACTTTGCAGTTGTTCTGGACTTTGGCATCTAGTATTTATCCCATTCAAATTATTTCGTTTTGAATACACCCTTCTATCTGTCCGATTCAATTTAGACTTTAACTGCAAAAAAAAAAAAAACAGTTAAATCTGTAGAAAAAATTGACTACACTCTGGTTTGTGCTATATAAGATAAATATACATATTTTTCAAGCTATGATTAAATTTGTTTTTGAATAAATAAAAGATGTAATAGTTGAATTGAAGCACATAGAAAAATGATATTCATATTTATTTATTGAGTAAGAAATATGTAATACTTGAAAATATATATAGAAAAGTCTATCGATAAGAAGCAAAATACAAAAACACTGATTATAAACAAAAACAGAAATGTCATTGTTATTCATAAACACAATTTCAGTCATAATTTCATTAAATGCAATTAACATTGATATGAACTTCATTTTTTATACATAAATTTTGCTTCATGGGTCATTACATTTTTTCTATACTTTCTATTATATGTTGAAAATGAATTAAATTATACTTTGCAACTACTTCACAAATACAAAATTTAATATCAATGTTATTAGTTCAAAATAACAATATTTTAGTTAATAATAAATGACATAATTATTATGACGTTCTTAATCCTTCTGAATTTAAAAGGTGTTTGTGTTTATTTAAAATTAAATTAATTGAATTAAACAAGTTTTAGGTTATGTATGGCGTCGCTGAACTTACTAAATCGTTTTCTTGCTTAAGCGTTGATATTAATTTGTCTTTTGACAGTAATTGTTCACTTTGCTGCTGAATTAGATCCAAATGCAGCAATAATAAATCCTTTAAATGTCTCACTTCACTAATCGAATTATTAAAGTTATCATTTAGCCGAGAAAACGCGCTAGAGCGTTCTTTATTTTCCACTGCGTTATTAACTTCGCTCTGATCGGAATTCATGTGTGTATTTTCTGTATTGTTTTTTACATTTCCTTCGTTACATGCATAAATATGATCAAACGCATATGACAACAAATTATCCTTTTTCTCGAATTGCTTAATATTTGCAATGTTTTGCTTCAAACTTCCAACTTTAACACTTGTATTGTGATTCATGTTAGCGTCCGTATTGATGCCGATATTCGAGCTGTCAAAACTAGGGTGCCTAATTTTTCCATGCATGTGTTTTTGTATTACTCTCAAAGGAATTCCACCACGTAAATATGTACCTTAGAAGATCACAAATCTTAAAGTACTTTCATATAATTTTGAAGCACTGACATATCATTGTAAGCCTATAATAATAAATTATAATGAAAAACTCAATGGATGCCAAAATTTGTTACGCACGACATGTTTGTAGTACGAATATGAATATACGCAATATGAAAGTAAGCAAATGAAGCCGTGAAGTTAGCTGCATATAAAATAACGCGCCATGGCGCTTTTCAAGGCCGTTTTCTCGTTACCCCAATTTGAAATTTGTAAATGTAAACATTTATTAGAAGAAAATTTTCCTATATAAATATATATTTTATTTATACATTTTCTTTGAGTATGTGAATTTTTATAGGTTAAATCAATATTTTTTTACAACATTTAAAAAAAAGTAAATACTGTGAAAGAAGTTGTGAATGTTTTTTCACTGTTTTGTTGACTAAGTTTTTCTAGAAGGTCTTTTGTCTTTTAAAATTGTTTTAAATAGTATTACTGATATTTTAATATAGCTATTAGTATTTTTTTTTTAAATTAATGTTAGTTGTTTTTTTCATAATTATTTAGTTTTTTTATAAAGTTTTTCTAAAAAGTCCTTTAACTTTTAAAATTGTTTTTATTAATATTAGTGATATTTTAATATAGCTATTAGTAAATAAAAAAATGTTAGTTGTTTTCTTCATAATCTTTTATACATTTTTGTTTTTCTTTGGTTTTGTTTTATATTATCATCATGTTATTAATATGCTACTACTCTTAATTACATACTATCCTTTATTTTTTACTGTAATCAGTTATATTATTATATTGTTTATATTTCAATATAATCATATTAGTATTTTTCCTGGTTAGTGTATAAAATTTCATAATTCATATGATTCTCAAAAGGTACAATTTAAAAATAAATATAAAAATTCCATTTCAACATATTGGTTGTTAATCCTAATAATAATGTTATTAAAGTGAAAAAAAAAAATTGAAAAATGATAAGGATACCTCATATATCATACAATAATCGTTTACAATAAATTTAGCTCAAGATTACGATTTTTATATATTTTTTGAAAACAATTATATTTCTAAATCCATGGTTTGTATTTTGCAATAATTTAAAGAAATTTTTGCAATATATCATCCATCAACAGCTTTAAATAACCACCTACAAGTTTTTTTTTTTTTAAAAACACATACAAAATTAAAATTCAAAAATATTACTTATATTATTTTTTATATATTTAATTTATGGTTTATACATTATCTGATTGGTATCTGAACAGAACCTTCATCTAAATATATAATAAAATTTATGATGTTTTTGTCCATATACCACTATCACCCATATCGGCATTGAATCCTTTTTCATATTTCATTCCAGGTGCCTGTACATAGTTTTTGGTTTAAATTTCGATCTAATATAATAACTGTTATCAATATTATATAACACAAACCTCGCCATAAACTTCATCCATAACAATTACATCTTCGGCTGGTATGATTAATTCTGGGACATCAAGTATTGGTATATTGAAGTATGGCATCAGATTGGCTCTATCAGTATACCTGTTAAAAATGATTTTCAATATAGCCAAGTTATTTTCATTAATCATTTTTTAAATTAATACTTACAGCATTCGTGCATTATTCCAATCCCATTCTTTTGGTTTCACCCAATCTCTTAACTTTTTATCCTCTTTTGTGTACTTGTCGAAATCTTAATATAATATAGATTTGTCGTAAATGATTTATTCAAATAAGGCAAAAATATATTAATAAAGAGATATTTACCTATTCTTTCAATATCTTCAACTACAACTTCAACCTCTCCACATTTTGACCAATCATAAACTAAAAGCTCAGCATGTACACTGAAAAAATTAATTGGTTTACAATATTGATTTTTATAAATGCTTATGTTTAAGACAAATATAATTGTTTTTATTGAAAGTATTAAATAAAAAAAAGAATTTCTTTTGTGGTGTCTCAAGAAGCAGTTGTATCATGTAATTATTATATGTATACATAAAGAGTATTGTTCGGAAAGATATAACATTAAAAAAGAAAGAGATATTAGAGAAGCTATATTTTTGCATACAACTTTATGTTATCTGCAGTGAGTCTTTCCTTGAGCAATGCCGAAAAGTCGGTATTCCCAAACAAAATTATATAACTTATTATATATACAATTACCAATTAATTCATAATTACTGACTAGTTTAATTGCTATTAACCAATTATGTATATTATATATGTTGTTTTTCATGCACTTTATATAGCATTATGTGAATATCTAATGATGTCATGAAGATATATCAAATCTTAATGAGTTAGTCATGGGTTGTGTTTTAAAAAAGTTTCTATTACAGTAAAAAGAATTTTAAATTTACCTTATTTCCTTCAAGAAGGATTGTTTATAAGCAGTTTCTAGGTCTTTCAAATACTTGTCAGTATAAACTTTGGAAGTAGATTCTGCTGGATCATTCCTGGCTTTCATTTTTTCTTGAACATCTTTAACAGGGCAATCCAAATACACAACAAGGTGAGGTTGCATCAATTCTGTGATTGTGTTGCCTCTTATTTCAAAATATGCTGAACGAGCTACACAACAAAAATAAAAGTATATTAAATAAATTACATTAAATCAACTATGATGTAGTTATATACATAAAAAAGTATATGAGAGGCACCTTAATATTAAAGAAAATTGTCAATATATATACTTAGTTCTGTAATCAATTGTATAAACGCTTTATAAACTTGTTTGATACAATGCATTAAAAAGACTCATTAAAATAAGGTGTAGTAAAATACATAAGACTACATAAATGACTAACCTCCTGGCGAAACATAGCCATGCTTAGCCATGGTTTCTAGAAAAACAAAATCAGAGTAACAAGTTCTCTCTAAAATAACTCCTTGTCCAGTATTTAATAAATGGGCAAGAGCCGCAAGATATTGTTCATATCTGTAACAAAAAATTAGTATAGTATTTAAATATTATATATACACATATAATTAAAATATATGAATACATACTTTTTCATATATAACACAATTTGCATTGTTGCTACATTTCTATTATGCGGATCTTTATGAAATTTATCAAAATCGATGCTTTTACATGATTCAGGTAATTTATCATCAAGTTGTCTGAGATCATACCCATATTCATTAATATAGTAGTGATCCATAGTAACCTAAACATGAAAAATATTCAACAAAATAGTGTGCAACTTACATATTTAAATAATGATAAAAATGAAGAAAAAAACTCACAGCTGGAAAGTATTTCATATCTAAATCTTCGGCCAAAGCTTTAGCAAATGCAGTTTTGCCAACAGCTGGTGGACCTTCCACTGTAATAACCTGTAAAATATGAATTATAAATTTTCAAACTAAAAAAGAACAATTTTGGCTATACCTTTGTGTTATCATTGAATCTCTTAGTTGTGTAATCAAAAAACGCATTGATAAATCCGTATCCTTTCTTCTTATAGTCATAAGGAGGAAACCTTTCAATCGGATTTACAGATCTCATTTCCTTCCCAGATACATTACAAACTGATGTCACAGTTAAATGTTTTGCACTTAAAAACTTTTTCGATTTCGGAATTAACCGACAAAATCCAAGTTGATAGATGTTTGCCATTTTCCTAAAAATACAATATTTACAGTACACAACAATGCCATGAAAAGCCTAGCACAGTTATATAATTTATAAAAGAAAATGTCAGTAAATTAACATTGCAAAAATTTATCATATAGGGATGTTTAAATACAAAGTTAATATTACATACGATTAAATAATGTATAGCTAAAATTTGCAAATGAAAATATTAAAATATAATAATATTGAACATTTCAGGTTAAAGACTACCTTATGACATAAGAAGGATCTGTCAAAATATTATTCGAAAACAGTGAAGGAAACCTAAATAAAATATACTATGAAGTTCACTTCATTGACAACTGGTTCTTGAAGTTTACGTTAAGGTTAATTAATATAAATTAAATTGATCATCGCAAAAATTAAAATAACCAAATAATTAAAACATATTTAGTACAATGACTTATTTTTTAAATCATTTTTATGGTATGCATTGATATACAGTAAACCCTCGCTTTACGCGGCAAGTGCGTACCGTGCAGTATAGGAACCGTGCTATAAGAAACTCGTATTTAACATACAATTCAGGCTAATTCGTAGTGCGTTATATGGAACCTTACATAGTGCAGTATGGGAACCGTGTTATGAGAGACTCAGAGTTGGTACAAATCGCACCATTTTTATCGCGTTGTATGGAGACCAAGAAATACAACTTGAAGTAGGAGAAATACGGACGAAATGACGTAAATGACGTGACGAAATTGACACCTTATTCAAAAATTGGCGCGACGCAGTAATTAGCTCAAACGTGTTCTTAGGCGGCTATTATACAATCATGCATGTCTAAAAGATAAAAGTCGATAACAAATTTACAACAATACCCTTTTGCACAACGAACTTATGGGCTGTTGACGAAATACCGTGTAATAAGAAATCCGTGTAGTCGGAGGGATGTCGGATTTTTAGCTCCGTGTAGTATGGGAACCGTGTACCCAGAGTGCCGTGTAAAGCGAGGGCCTACTGTATAGATAAAAGAAGAGTATGCATTGATAGTAAAAGAAATTGTCCGCCATTTTTTGGAGCTGTCAAATTACAGGCTTGCACGAAAAATTTTACGCGGCAGCAGGGCCGCATTTAAACTACTTTAAATATTTTGAACAAATACGTGTACTATTTTCAAAAGACTATTAAAATAATTGTACTTGCTCAGATATTACTAATATAAGTGTTTTTAAGAATACACAACTAATAACTAATATCAAAATACATTTCATTTCCTGTTGTTCAATCACTAGACGATAATCGGTCGAGAGGTCTTTAAACAGGACTATAAGAGAACCCTAAACAATAATATGAGAAACGATGATACACACTTTTAACTTGTGCTTTTAAAATACTAATTAATAGTAAATTAAATAAAATAATATTTAATAATTGACATATAGATATTTTAAAGTGTAAATATCATATCTCTTATCTATGATAAAGAGCATGTTAAAGATTTCGTATTCTTGGTGCATCTATTTTTTTTAAACATATTCAATATACTAACAACACTAATTAAATAATTAACTATATCGTTAGATGAAAGATACACAATGTTGATGATTATAAGTGAAAATTTAAAATAATTATGAAAAAATACGAAAAGTTTGAGTGCTTCGCAACAAATAATCATCTAATCATCTTCATCTAATGGTAAGTCTAATTTTAGTAATTCTGCAGGTGATTTACCTCGTATCGTGTCGACTTCATTAGTAGTTTCTTTTTTTTGTCCCAATGATCCAAGTAGAGAATTTATAATATAATTGTTAGTTTAATAAAAATATAGGAATAATGATAAATAGAAATAGCTTTTATGAATCTATTTTAAATAATACTATTTTATTTGATTATTGAAAAATAATGCAATAAATCAAACATTCAAGAGTTATTAGACATTACAATTTAAATAATATATATCCAAGTTAACAATGAGTGTTGAAACGATAGTCAAGTATTATATGAATGTATGAATCATATACAAATTTTAGACTGGTCAATAATTTTAATAAATTTTATTTAAATTGTACCTACTACATAATAGGATAAAATGATAATATGGCCAAATGATAACATAATCACATAAAAGAGCCAGGTAAGTGCAGTAAACAATGCCAAATATCTATAATGAATATTTTTTAATAAATTTAATCCCGCAGCAAATTATTAACTATTCAACTATATTCAATAAAACTGAGGAATTTACTATTTATACAATTAGTCAATGTTAGCTAATAATGTCACTACAATAGTAAGATTTTAATTTAAAAATAAAATTAAATGAATTATAATAGGTATAAAAGCTATAACAGAAATTGACAATAGGAAAGAATTTGATCCGGAGAAAATTATTATTAACATAAATATATAATAGTCAATTTATTTTTTTAATTTCAATTTTAGTTGCAACAGTTGATAAAACTACAAGTAACACTCGATAATTTAGCTTGAAAAACATTAAAAAATAATGTAATGTTTCTATTGAGACGCCGTCCATATAATGATAATAATAGTAATAATACCAGCAACAATAATAATAATAATAATAAAAATATAAATAATCGAAGAAATTGCTATAGAATGAATGAATAATACATTGAACTATAAAGATCAAATAGTAAAACAAATAATAATAGTAATAAAATTAAAGAAATAATGAACACTTTCAAAGTATCTAATCGACTTTAATATGTTTTAATTTGAAACATATTCCAAAAATGTATGCTACAGACTACGAGGTCGCTTTAGTATATATGAAGTGAAATGTTCGCAATAAATCAGCTATTTACATTTGATTAATTTGATTTTTTGGTTTGGTAAAAACACATTTTTCTCATGAGATTGAATATGAAATTAGTTTATTTAATACAAATTTCTATATCAGAATTAATATTACAAATTCCACATATAAATCAACTGCACTATATTGGATGGAAAAAGTCATCGAAGATTTTATGATGAAGTATAATTATAAGTTAAAGTATTTAATGTATACATTTTTGAAACCAACTATAGCAATATTCGCATTTCGCGAAGCGGAAGACGTGATTTCAACAAAAGATATGAATGTGTAAACAACATATTTAAACCGCATAGCATTAAAAATAGTTTAAAAATTTAGAAATTTGTTATTAATGCACTGCAGTATTTCACCAAATATTATTGAAATAGCTCATTCAATTAAACACTGTGCATTCGTATAAATTCATGAATCCATTCAAATTGAGGATCAGTTGTTCGAAACTAATCAGATTGCAAGTCTAACTTTAAGACAAGAATTATGAAAAACGTTTTAGCCATATTATTATTTCTGTTCATATGTATTCACACTATAGTGTGTGAAGTGGAACAAAATAGCACGTCGGAAAAACGAATTAAAATTAAAAAAAGTGAAAATGCTGTCGAAGAACCAGTCACAGGTAATTCATAAGAATTTTACATAATCGCAGAGATATTTTTATATATTAAAATACATTTATAATTTAAATTTCAAGAGTGAGTTTGATTATTTTATGATGATTTTTGTTGAGAACAATATTGATATTGGATTCTCAATATACAGCATCCTTTCAACTTAATGGTTATGCTTATGTCTTCCAATTTTACGAACCATTTGAAAGGAAACAATTTTTTTACAAATGATTTTAAAAATGAATGAATTTAAAAATAATCAAAAAACATCAATCCTTACAATTTTTTATTTCATAAATTTATTAAAAAAGATTAATGTTTCTATATTGACATAAGATTATAGATAAAAAATCAGGCATAAAATGATAGAATTTCCGATAATAACCAGACGTAAATATAAATCAAAGAATCGGTTGAGAAAATAATTTGTAAATTTTAGTAATAAAATCAACTCACTAGGGAGCACATGGATTTTGTCGCATTTTCAAGCTTAGTTTCTACTGCTTTTCAATGTTTATCGCGATTTTGATTAGAAAAATATTCAGTGGTAAAAGTAAAAAAATTATCAATAGTTTTTGAAGGACGGGGCTTCTATATACCCGAAAATGTTGAATTAAATATTTTTTTTAAGGAAGCCGTTTATTTAAGAAATTTATTTTTATTTATTTATAATATACATGATGTAAAAGTCTTGACAATGACTATTGCCAAATTATAATTTTATAGAAATACCCAGTACAAAAAAGGTGAAAATGACACAAAAGACAAAAATTAAAACAACTAAAGCTCCATCAACTGATCGTAAAGTAGAAGAACAAATAAAGAAACTTCCAGGTGAAAACAATGAGTCGCCAATTCGAAAACTTTCTTTAGCTGTTCCTGAAATATCAACCAAAAAACCTTGGACCGCAAATAATTCAACTGTTGCTTCTAATATTACTAAAAGTAACGACACAAATTTAGCAGAAAAGAAGTTAGAGAAAAATTTGACTACACCATTTGTTGGTAATTGTTCTTCGTTAGGAATGGGTAAATGTAATATGACGGCTTCCGTGATAAATTCAACGGATTCTACAAATAATCCAAATCGAAGTAAAGGAATAGTTGTTGCTGAAATTGAAGTTGAAGATACAAATCAAACAATAAAGGTTATTGTACCAATCGAACGTGGCAAAAATGGGAAAAAATCCCATAATACCAAAGAAAATGCATTACATCAAGAATCTGAGGAGAATAAGGCGGGTTTCGTTAATGACCTCACAGAAATAGATGAAAATTCTATAACTAATTCAACAAGAGCAGCAGAACTCAAGAAAAGAAAGAAAATCTCGCAGAAAAAAGCTCCTACTAAAAGGAAGGTTAATAAGAAAAAAAATCCACCAAAAAAGAAAAGTTAAAAAAGAAATAAAAGTCAAAAGATCTAAGTCGCCTAACGCAGTTAACGATACATCTGCGCATTAAAGTAATGTAATATATTAGCAAAAATAGTAAATTCAATTTTTTTATCTTAAATTTTAAAAGTTAATATAATTAGTGATTTTTATGTAATAAATAATTTATTTCCCCATGATTAAAAGCACAACTATGAAAATTTTTAAAAAAATGTTACTTTAGTAATAAAATTAGATTATACATCATCAAAATTTGAATGCTTATGGGCTTAGAATGAATTATTTAATTTCATATAAAATGCCATAATAATTTATAGTTAAACTGTTACAGTTATTATACTGTAAAATGATATCATTATATATAATTTATATCATATAATAATTAAAATTATAAAATACGTCATGTTTTTTATTATCTGAGTAATAAACTAGCGGCGTATGGCATCGTGTCTTAAGGCAAATTGTAACG